GAGAAGCTGATACCTCTGGCAGCTCTCTCTAACACTGAAAACAAACTTCTCTCCTGTTTCTAACTGGTCTCTGCTGGCACCTCAGTTCCAGAGGATGAAGGGTGGTGGGAGCCCTCTGTGAGATGGGGAGGAGATGGGAGCATCCCCCAGCCCCTTTCCTCTGGCATTCCAGAGCCAGCAGCCAGGGTTTGGGAATGGACACTTCATTAATTCATTTATTTTTGCCCTCCTGATGCCCTTTGCAGGCAGCAGTGCCACCTGTGCCAAGCAGCCCTGGTTGGAGGCCAAACCCCCCAGACATTCCCCTCTCTCCCCATCCTCCCCAAATTTAATTTCCCCCCTCTCCAGAGGTGCTGGATGCTCAGGGCTGGGTCCTGGCTCAGCTGCCACCCTCCCTGGGCTGGGGGATGTCCCCTCCTGTCCCCTCCTCAGGCACTGGCAGGAGAAGCTGCTCCCTCAGCATTCCTGCTCTGCTCTGGAATGGCTCTTGGTATTTCTGTGCCTGCCTCGGGGGATAACATTGAATGGGCCTTATCTCTGCCGAGAAAATATCGATTCCCAGTTTTAATGGCTTTCCGCTAACGAGCCACAATGAGCGTGGCTGGGCACCACTGCTGGAGCTGATAGAAACGGGAATGCTCAGCCCCACAGCTCTGAAAAGCACTTTCACCCCCAGTCCACGTCCCTTCCACAAGATACAGTAAAATAAACAATTAAAAAGAAAGAGAAAGGGGGAAAAAAAAGGCAGAAGATTTTGCTGCTCTTTTCACCCAGTTAGTCTGAGGACAGATTTTCAATTTGTTCACTTTCTTCACAGCTCTGGATTTGCCACAGGGAGGAAGAAATGAGGGAAGGGGACAGGAGATGAAATGCATCCGTTTATTTCGGGAAAGTCATCCTAAAGGGGGAAAAATAATATTAAAAAAAAGGAAAAAGAGGTAGGAAAAACTCTGCCATCAGGGAGACAGGACTCAATTAAAGCAAGACCTTGAGATCCATAAGGCAGCAGCGCCAGCAGGGTCCATCAGCCATCCCTGTCAGGCTCCCGGAGGCTGTGTGGCAGCGAGATCCATCACCCGGGGAAATAACCACGGTGCTTACATCTTCAGCAGCTCCTTGATCTGCTGATAAACCCGTTAGGGGAAATAAATGGGTTTCTGCTGCCCGGACCGGCCACATCAGGGATGTGATTTGCTGTTTTACCGGGAGCTGATAAGCGCAGGATCAGGAGGGAAAAGCTGCTTGAACCATTTGCTAATAAAGGCTGAGATAAGAGCAGAGCAGCCCTGAGAGGTCCCCTGGCTGTGATTCCCAGCCCTGATCGCTGCTCCAGGCTGGCTCTGCAGGGCAGGAACTGCTGCAGGACAGGGATGTGGCATTCACATAGAAAAAAATGAAAAAATTCGGAAAAAAATTCCTTCACTCAGGGTTTTTCTGCTGTGAAGCTGAAAGGCAGCAAGAGAGGCATCAGAGAAAAAGGAAGACAATTGTTATCTCATTTGCTTCTCCTGTGTTGTGCTCACTTGGAATGTGCTTGGAGATTGTTTACTCACAGGTGATTGTTCCATTGATTTCTGCTATGAGTTGTTTTCACTCTTTGCCCAATCAGGGCCAAGCTGTGTCAGGACTCTGGGAAGAGTCATGAGTTTTCATTATTATCTTTTTAGTCTATCTTATACTGAAATAGTAAATATTTATACTTATAAAAGTATCTCTTCTGTATTCTTCAGTATAGTATAGTATATGGCGTTTACTTGGAGTGTGTTTGGAGGTTGTTTACCCAAGGTTACTGTTTGATTGGACTCCAGTGTGAGTTGTTTTCACTCTTTGACCAATCAGGGCCAAGCTGTGTTGGGACTCTGGGAAGAGTCAGGAGTTTTCATTATTATCTTTTTAGTCTATCTTATACTAAAAAGATACACTATACTTATAAAAGTATATTTTCTGTATCTTTTCTGTATTCTTTAGTATAGTATAATATTCTTTAATATAATATAGTGTCATAAAATAATAAATTAGCCTTCTGAGAACATGGGGTCAGATTCATCATTCTCTCCCCTCATCAGCAGCCCTGCATTTACAACAGAGGTGCCCAGGAGGCTGAGAGGGGACACAGGGCAGGGACCACCCATCCTCCCCCCACTGCACTGGCAGGGGAAGGGTTTGGTGCCAGCAACATTAAAAATAGAGAGACAAAAAAAAAAAACCCCAAATCAACTCCATAAAGAAAGTTCTGTGTGGAATTATTTAGAAGAAGAGTGAGGTTCAGAAACATAAATCGCCCCTGGCTTCATTTCTAGGTAAGGAAAATGGATTTCCAGAACAATATCATTCTTTTGACACGCCTGTCCTGGTTTCACAGCTGCCAGAAAACAGGTTAGGAAAAAAATCTGAGAGATTCCAGGAGGCTCTGCTGGGTGGATGCCACCAGAAATCTGGAAATCAAAAGGTCCAACCCCACCCTGAGGGGACCCCAGGGGCTCCCCATGAACCACTCTGGCTGTTAAACAAACTGTCCCAGCCAGCAGCATCAGAGAGTGCAGCTGACAACTCCTCATTCCATTTTGCTTGGGTTTATTCAGTTTTGACACCATTTTCCCCCTCCCTACAGGGGATTTATTCTTTGCAATTAGCTGTGGGAATTAGAACCTCTTTCATATGGCAGTGGCTCTGCTTCCCTTCAATCTCTTTCATGCTCCTGCTTAATAAATTGTGAATTTGATGTTTACATCCTCAGCTCTCCCTTCCAAATGGAAATGTGTCCTGGCCAGCGAGACCAGGCTGGAGACCTGCTCAGGAAAGGGCTTGGAAAGGCAGCTGGGATGCCCCAGTGATCACCAGACACAGCCAGGGCAGAGAAAAGCATTTCCAGGTGACAAAGTCCCTTCTGTCCCACACCAGCAGCTCCATTCCTTGGTGCCACCTCCACATCAGGGTGCCACTATGCCCCTGGCACACACACTCACCACTTAAAAAATATTTTGATGCCCATTCTGCATCCAAAAGTGATGTTAACACCCAGCACTGGCATTCCCAAAGCAGTCCAGACCCCAGCTTGCCCTGCCATGGGATTTTACAGAGCAAGGCATGTGGGATGGGGCAGGAGGGGCTGCCCCAGCAGCCACACTCTGGTCCCTGCTACATCCACGAGTGATGCTCCATCACCAACAGGAGAAGCTTTTTCCCCAGGCAGCCTCTGAGCAGGACTCAGTGCCCACTAATGGGGCAGAGACATGCCAGGCAATAGCAGAGCCTCACTCAGCCCCACCACCCACATTTCCAGGCTGCCTTGAGATCCAGCCAGGCTCCAGACAGATCATTATTTCCCATGACAGCAGCGAAGGTGAGCCAGCCACCTTTTATTTCAGCCTGGAGAAAAATTCTCCTGCCAGGGGATAATTGGGGCTCTCTGCAGTGGGAGGCAGCGCTGCACTGCTGAAAGGTGAAGGCTATTTTAAAAGCAGCTGAGCAGAAACTGTGGAAAAAGCTGCCCAGGGAGCTGATGTGTAACAAGCGCTGCCTCACGAGGCCTCCCGAGCCTCTTGCTCTTTAAAACTTGCTTAGATCTCCTATAAAATCCAGTTTTATTTGGTTTTTACAACCCTGGGAAGTGAACTGCTGGTGGTTCCTGCTGGCAGACCCCCCGTGCCTCGCCCAGGCCAGCTCCTGCCCACCCAGCTCTGGCAGCACTGTGTGGCAGGGGATGCTTTGAGGCTGAGATGAAAGGGGCTGTGGAGAGGTGTTGCTGCTCAGCTCTGCAAAGTGAGTCTTGTGCTGCTTTTATTTAGACACACGCTGGCTGCAAGACACAAAAATTACTTAATCAATCCTTCCCCTGGGCTGGCGTCACAGGCAGGATGGAGGCTGCCCACGCAGCTGGGAGCTGAAGATGATAAATTGCTCTGGGATAACAGCAGTGTGTCCAGCTCATCCAGGGCAGGATGTGGCCCAGAGGACACAGCACCCTGTGGTGACACAGCAGGGACACGGTGAGGGTGGCTGGGCTCTGCCCAAAGCTGCAGCTCAGCTGAAGGAATGGGAGTTTCTCCCAGAAGCTGGCACAGGGAGGACAGGCTGGAGGTGCCAGGGGTGTGGCACAGCTCCAGGCACACGTCCTGCACTCATTCTGCCACTGCTCTCCATCAGTCACTGGAGACAGAGGGGATAATTCTGCCAGGATCCTGCAGGGGCAGTGCCAGGTCAGGCTGCCACCCCACCAGCCTCCGTCACCAGCCAGGCCAGGAGCAATTCCATGCAGAAAAGGGCGAGAAGGAATTTCCAGCCCCTGATTTTCCAGCCACACATTTTATGGCATGAAGGAATTCACCCTTGCAAACAGCAGCAGGGCTCAGCACCAACCTTACAGCAACACCTTGCCCTGGTGAGCAACCCTACAAGAACAAACCAGGTGACCCCAGCCAGCACCAACCCAGCCAGGAGGGGACACATCAGTAGTGGGGGGAAACCACCCCCAAAGCAAGAGGAACAGCACTAAGGAAAGTTGAAGAAGCAAAGAGTTCCATGGAAGATGGTTGCTTGGAGCTCACCTCTTGCTGTGCTGGCAACATCTGGGGCACACAGAGTTAGGATATTGCTCTTCAGCTGCTCTGCCCTTGGTCAGTGCCCACCAAGAATTCCCCCCGTGTGCTGCAGCACATCCTCCCCTCTGCCCACTCAGCTGAACCCCAAGCAGCCCCTGTGCCCTCACTTCCTCCTCCAACCATCCCTGGGGGAGATATTCAGCTCCATGAATGGCCCAGCAGGGTGAAGAGCAGCCTGGAGGCTGGAGGGATCATTTTGGGCACCTCTGCCCTGCCTGGAGAGCAGCAGCTTTCCCAGGAGCCCAACCCAGGCCCATCCCAACACTGTCTTTTCCTGGGGCTACCAGGGGTGCAGTCCCCAATGTGCCCATCAAACCCAGCCACTCTCCTTGTGCTTTGTCCTCCCCCAGCTCCACCCCCGTCCCACCCCCAATGCAGCTCTGGCCAAGAACTCCCACAGAAGGGCTGGGTGTGGATTCCCCTTTAATTTACCACTTGTCAGGGGGAGGGTTAAAAAAATCAATAAATAAAACAACTGAGGATGCTTGAAGAAGATGAAAACCCTGAAACTGCAGTCTGCTGGTGGCTTGTCCCATCGCCAGAGGAGGGGAAGGGTGTCCCCAGCCCCTCTCTCCCCACCACCCCATCCCAGCGCCACCAGGTCCAGGTGGGTTCGGTGCAGGATGCGCTCAGACGAATGCTCCTCTAGAAGAAAATGACTCCAAAGTTCAGGACAGGGTCATTCACAGCTGGCTGGTGGATCAAACAGCCCAGAGTCGGACATGGAACAGCCCGTGGGTGAGTCTGACATGGAACAGCCCCTGGGTGAGTCTGACAGCCCCGGCTCACCCACCGCAAGGGACCCATCCCAGCTCCTCGGCTGCCGCAGAGTTCTGAGGAGAAGCCACCCGGTGCCGGTGTCCCCGGGGCGGTGGGGACGCCGTGTCACAAGCAGTCCCTGCACAGAGCCACCTGTCCTTGGCGGAAGTCGCGGCAGGGGCAGAGGCGCCGGTACTTGGCGTGGTGGCCGGCGCAGCTGAAGAGCAGCGGCTCCTTCTGGAGGTAGCACTCGCGGACGTTCTCGGCCACCGCGGGGTACAGGTGGTTCATCTCATACTCGGTGCTGTCGCACGCGATGCTGAGCCTGGGGGCCAAGGCAAGGTGGGCAGGTCAGGTGAGCTCCCATTGAAGGGTTTTTGTCCTTCTTGGGGAGGTTCCTTTGCTGAGCTGTGTTTGCCACCCCTTGGCTACACGTGAGGGCTCGTCACCAGCCCAACATGCCATGCAGGAAGGGGAGACCCTGGCAACTCAACCCTGCAGCCCAGAGATTGCCCCTAACCTACAGGTGGCTCAGAATCACCCACAAAACCCACCCAAATCTTAGGATTTGGTCCTTGCGGGTCTTTTGCAGCTCATAAAATTCAAGGGCTCTCTTACAGCCCTTTGCTGACCAAGGGGAGACCCTGGCAACTCAACACCCACACTGGCACCCACAAAACCCACCCAAATCTTAGGAGTTGGTCCTTGTGGGTCCTTTCCACCTCATGAAGTTCAATGGCTCTCTTACAGCCCCTTGCTGACCCACAGCTCTGTCCATGGACAGAGCTCCATGGACAGAGCTCCATGGACACCTCCATGGATGTAGATAACATTCTGTTATTGTATGTTACTGTAGATAACATTCCCTGGAAGGGACAGGGGATCAGGGAATGCCCACATGCTCCCTGTTAGCTGGGATTAGCCAGAAAACTGAGGTGGGCATCAGCAAAAGCCCTGAGGAGCAGCAGAAGTGCCCTGCCCAGTGTGGATTTTAACACCCCTCCCCTCCCAGATGGTGCAGAAGCGCTGGCACTGCCCTGCCACCAACCTTCTCAGCTGACGAGTCCCTGAGCCAGCTCGTTTTGAGGTCTGGAGGAGGACGTGCAGGGGGAAAGAGTGAAAGGCAGGCCCCAGCTGTAATTTATCACATAAAAATGTCAGCGGGACACACGGCGCCTGCCTGACCAGCGTGACAGCTCCGGCAACGCTCGCATTTAAATTGCCCAGAGAGCAGCACAGAGCACAGTGGCAGATTTATACTCTATTAAAACTTCACCACTGTGTGTTCAAAACGCAGTTTTATAGAGAGAGACATTAAAGAGGAGAGAGCACGTGGGAGGTGGAGAGGAATGGGGTTGGAAAGAGGCGGAACCATGCCTGGAAACGCTGCTGTTGCCTGCTGAAGAGTGAAGCTGGGCCCTGCCTGCACTGTCTTCATCTTGTACTCAATGCTGAGGCTGGGGGCCAAGGCAAGGTGGGCAGCTCAGGTGAGGGCCCATTGAGGGGGTCATTGAAGGGTTTTTGTCCTTCTTGGGGAGGTTCCTTGTAGGCGGATACAATATAAGAAAATAAAGGTAGTATAGAAAGTAAACTTACCCCATTAAGGAGTTGTAGCTGAACCAATTATTAGAGATTGGGAACAGGCCTGATTTTAACAGGCCACAGCTGTAGCAAATAAGAGTGTTATAAAAGAGTGGATTGGTTGGTTGAGGGGAACTGGAGTCAGTTGGCAACTGCAAGGACAAGGAGGAGTCAGTGCCTAGAGGAGATACCTACAAGAAAACATCGAGGCAGTACGAAACTCTAGCAATATGGAACCCTTCCAGTGTAATGACAATAGAACTCTTATGCTATACTGATGACAGTTCCTGATGAGGGACTCATCAGTTGAGAAGGGTTGGTGGGAGGGCAGTGCCAGTGCTGCTGCTCCATCTGGGAGGGGAGAGGTGTTAAAATCCACACTGGGCACTTCTGCTGCTCCTTGGGGCTTTTGCTGATGCCCACCTCAGTTTTCTGGCTAATCCCAGCTAACAGAGAGCATGTGGGCATGAGGGCTCATAATTTTGGGAGGAAAGTGGGTGCAGGGGATGGGAGGAGCAAAGGGAACGTCATGTGGCTGGTGACCCCTCCACAAGCTCCCTGAGAAGGCCCCAACTCACTGTAGAAACACCTCCTCCTTGTTGAGGAACCTGAAGAAGGTGGGCTCGCAGACCAGCCCGTGGCGCCGGCACGTCTCAGTGCACGTGTGCTGGGGCTCTGACACCCACACCTGCAGCGAGGCCACCGGGGGCCACGCCTGGGGGGCCCAGCCCGCGCTGGGGGACCACACCAGGTGTGTGGAGTTGGGGGACAGTGCCAGCGGGCTTGGAGGGCTTTGCATAGCAGGAGTCTTGGTCTTGGGAGACGGAGGAAGAGATGATGGGGTGCAGAAATCCTGGTGGCAGAGAAGATAACAGGTCAGTGCTCTGAGATGTTAACAGTGGGGAAGGGAGGCCGCTAGTGGGACAGAAGGACACTTGGGATGATGACTTTGCTCATCAGGTTGAGGTCACCTGCATGCATAGATGGCACATCCTGCTGTGGGGGATGAACCTCTGTTTCTCTCACCTCTTCTTCTCCCAGTGCTGCCTCATTCCCTGCAGCAGAAAGGCCCTGACCCAGCCTCAGCACCCCCAGGTGTCCTCTACCAACCCCCAGCACCTTTGGGCCATGACAAACCTCCCCCAGCCCCATCTCCCGGTGCTCTCAGCAATCAGGGCACTGGCTGCACAATGCCCACAGGAGAACAGGGATGCTCCCCAGGGAGAAGAGGGAGAGCTGGCCATAAGGACAGAGATGGCTCCCCAGGGAGGACAGGGATTCTTCCTAACCTGGTGCTGAATGTAGGCGTGGATCCGCTCCAGCATCCCCTCGCAGGTGTACTCGTAAGGCAGGTAAGGGTCCACCTGTGAAGGGCAAGAGCAGAGCACAGGCAGCAGCTGGGGACAGCCTTGCCCTGCCCCTGAGACAGCAGAACCTTGGGCATGGCTCTCACACCCACCAAAGCCCACTACTCGTGTCTGTCCACCAAAGCAAGCAGGGAAGAAGAATCCTAGGGCTGGAGAAACCTCACAAGAGGTTTATAAAGTGATAAAGAGAGAGGAGTACTTTGAGTTTGACCTGTTGGTGAAAATGAAATCATCCCTGTTCCACTTTAATCTCCCTTTCCTCCACTTTTAGAAAGTTATACAATCAAATCAGTTTTCATCCAATAGGTCACTTCAAACTAAAGCATGAACTGTTCCAGCTCACAAAATGCTCTGCAGCTGTGGGCAAGGAAAGAGCAATCTTTAAAAAATAATTTTTTTAAGGAACTTTCTGCCCTGGGAAGACATATTTTTCCACGCTTATTTTCCAAAGAGATGTTACATGAGGTGCAGGAGGTTGGTGCCAGTGCTGGGACCTCCCTTCCCCTTGTGTATCTCTGCAGATCTTTATTCAGGAGGATTATAAGCAAAACCACCCAGAGATAATTAATCCAGAAAACACTGCTGCTTCTATTTTCTGAGCTCTGCACCTCCAAAATAGCTATTTCCTTTTGAAGTACCTGTCAAAACCAAGCTCAAAGGCTCAGTCTGCTGAGAACCCTCTAAGCATTTCCCTGCCATAAATATCCCACCTGAGATCTCAGGCAGGCTGGAAATCACAGCTGCTTCATCTAATTACAGATGTGCACGCTAATCAGGGCTGACACAGTGACAGGCACCAATCCTGCCTCTGAATTCCTGATGGGCTCTCAGTTAACTGGGGCAGAGCCCTCTGAAAGCAAAATTGCCTGTCTCAGTTTCAGAGCCAGGCTGGGGCTGCCTGGGATCAGTTTGGAGGAGACAAAGCCCCCCTTGCTCAGCATCCCCAGTGCTCAGTCTCATCTCACCACTGCCTTCATGGGGGGCTTTTCTCAGGACCCCCTTTTGCCAGGCATAGTGCAGACAATTCCACAAACAGCCTCATCCCCCCAAAACGCTGCAGCACATCACACAAACCCTCCTTGAGCCTGCACAGGTATCAAAGGTGATGCTCCAGGTGCAATCCCACCTCTCCAGAGGCTCCCAGGGGATCCCTGGGCATCAGGAGCCCACTGCAGCCCCTGCTCCTCTCCCTCTCAGGGGCTCTCCTTCCCTTTGCTCTCCTCTCCAGGTTTTGTTAGGATTCAGCTCGTGCACTCAGGACTGAGAAAATGCCAATTTCGAGAAGATAATTGTTTAATTAAAATCTGACAGGCTCAGCCTCTTCTCAACAGCCACGTTGTTAATGGCACTCCTCAGCTCAGGATGTCCCCAGAGCCCTGGGAGGACGGAGGAGGAGGAGGAGGAGGGGGGTTCTGAGGTGGGGATCACTGCAGAAGGATGCACGGGATGGCATGGAGGGAATGGAGGTGTTGGAAAGATGGATTTTGCCATTCTCGTCAGCTGGGAGAGCTTCCCAGCCCCAGTGCTCTCTCTGTCAGCCAGGCAGGGAGTCACTGGTGTCCCATGGGAATGCCACCACGAGAGCCCTGCTGGAACTGAGGATGAAGTCTCCTTCATTCAAAAGGAAAAGAAAGCAGGGTGGAAAAAAATCTGAACGTCACCAGACAAATAAGTAGAAAAATAATGCAATTCAGTGCTGGCACGTAACAGCAGGCTGGAACATTTTAACCAGCTATTTTCACTGGGATGTTTAATGTGCCGCTCTTTCAGGCATAGTCTGAAATGTATAATTTTCCATTATAGTCCTGTATGTTTGACTTTAATATAATGAAGCCTTCTCCCTTCACTACACCAGAATATTGGGTCTATTAAATTGCTTGTGTAAGGACTGGTTTTGACAATGGGAAAAGCTGAAGGCCCAGAAAATGGTGGTGCTTGCAAACCTCTGTCCTTCTCCAGCCTCTAACCCCAGGATAACAGACAGAATCTATCAGTGGGACAAACCTCTAGCATCCCCTGTCCCAAGGGGACACCACTTGTCTCTCTGTCCCCTGTCCCTGTGCTGAGATTTGGTCTCTGCAGTAGAGGGGTTTGGGGCTTGCCTGGTTTTAATCTTCCTTATAAACAGTTGAGGGATGCAAACCATCAGGGAAACCCAGAACTGCTCCCAGAGAGATGAATGGCAGAGTCACAGCCTGCCAAAAACCTTGCCCAGCAGCTGGAGGGCGACCTGGAACGGGTGCCCCCTCCAAAAGGATGAGAGAGGGCAGCACAAGGGCTGTTCCTGGGGGAAAAAACACAGATTGCAAACCCAAGCCACGTCCCAGGCATGATTCAGCTCTGCCTCCAGAAGGAAGAAGTTTCTTTCAGGCAGAACTGGGTTGGGAGGGACGCCGGCTGCATCCCAACTGCTCTGTTTGCACACAGCCAGCAGCCAGGGGAGCTCTGCCAGCCCAGCAGCAGCTCTGGGATGGCACAGCCTGCCCCAGGATGCAGCAGCAGAAACTGGGGTGCTGCAGTGACAATAAAATATTGCTGAGAATCAGCAAATCCCCCTGGGAGCGAAGCTGGTTGTCAGCTGGACCATGCCAGGATTACTGCCAGGTTCATCAACCAGCTCCCAAATTCCCAGACAGATCCCCAGCACAGCTTCCACCTGATGGCAGAGCCAGTTTTCCCACAAGATGTCACATCCCCAAAAATGTCTTACTGCGTTCTGCCCTAGAAGATGCAAAACATCTGTGGGATATGCGATTTTTCAGTCATACCACAACAAAAAATCCCTAAATAAATTCAATTTCAGGTCAGTTTTCAATTTTCAATGTTTTCACCCATCAGGGAGGGGGAAAATGTTGTGTTTCAGGTTCAATCTGTCTGAGTTAGTGAAGCAAAGGGAAATGCATCATTTCAGATCCAGCACTCCTTTCAATAAATTGGCAGGGTATTTCCAAACAAAGGCAGGCAGATGGGAAACAAAACCATAGTATTTCATTCCAGTAATTTTGAAATGAAATGTTTTGACAGAAAAAAAAATAAATTGATGGTGGTTATTCTGAAACACAGACAAATTTATTAGATATTCCAATAACAGAACACCCCACTTTGCCTTTGGGGGAAAAAAAATGGAGTCAGTAAAATAATTTCTCCGAACTCCAGTAACTGGCTGGGAACAGGAACACTAAATTGCCCAGCTACCATCTTTCTGCTGCTCCTCCTGCTAATGCCCTTGTTTTCAATTCCTGCTGTAACAAACAGTATTTTAAAGACAAGATACCCATGGACTCCTGGAGCCAAAGCCCATAATAAGGCTTTTAAACCTGTAAGGTAGGTCAATTTTTAGGCTTAATTGCCTTGACAGCATCTCTAATAAAGCAGACCTTTCTATTTAAAAGATAAAAAGGTGGGGAGGGGGAAAAGAGGCTGCTGTAAGTTATTCACACTCACTCCCTGCTCTGCTCTGGGAGGATTTTTACAATTTCTTCAAAACCCCAGAGAGGTGAGTTGGGGATTAACTCCTTGGTGGGAAGGAATCCCTCCTCTCCAGAGTGACTTCGTGGCACAATGCAAATGGGCCTCAGTGACTGGAGCTGTTCATCTGAGGTAAATTTAGGACTTCTAGCAGCTGAGGGTAATTCCAGAGGCTGGGATGGTTTGTGGGAGGGCACTGCAAAGTGGGGATCCTGATCCAGAGTGGTGAGAGGAATTTGTCTTTACAAACCAGCTGTGGGTCTGCTCATAGATAGAACCAGCACTGAGAGGTAAAAGAAACAATGGAAAGGATTCCACTGATTGATGGATGGAAAAAGATATTTGCTTTTACAAATAAACTGCAGGTTGGCTGATAAATGAAATTGGATATTGAAAGATGAAAGAAACAATGGGGAAAAACCATAAATTTCATAAGAATTAAAAATTAAAAGAGAGGGTTGTACATTAGAGGGCAATCTCTGGTATCAGGCATTTCAGTAAGTCTGTACCTCTCAAGTACCTCAGCCAATGGGGAAAGAGAGAGGGAAATTGGGATAAAAAGGAGGCTGTGTCCTCCAAAAATTTAAGAGACCCCAGAGGAATGCCCCATGGTCTCTCCCTTTATTCAAATAAAGTAAAAGGACTCCTCTGTCTCCTTTTTGGACATAAACCTCTGATGTTTGTGGATTAATTTTCCCAACAGTGGGAATGAGAAGAAGAGCTGAGACAGGAGCTTGGTTTGGGCACACCAGGGATGGGCACAGCAGCTGCTCACTCCAGTGAGTGTCCAGTTCTGGACACCAGCTCCTCTTGCCCAGTGCCCATTATGCCACCAAGCCCTTCCCTGAAATCCTTTTTAGTTCTTTAATTTTTAACCAGACGATTAAGCACCTAAATGACCTGGTGCCCATCCAGTCAACACAGCAGCAGCACAACTCAGCTGCCCAGGAACCAGCACAGCCCTTCCCTCCATCCTCAATCTCACCATTCTTTTATCATTTTAACAGCAAAGCAGCACCAGGCTTCACTATTTTTTCTCTCTTCTCTTCTGGAAAAAGTGAAAATTTCCTTCTGTCTCCCAAAACAGCTCCCAGCCTCCCACACACAGCAATTCCTTCACTTCAGGGCTGTCTCCAGCCCAGATGGTGGAGGGTCAAGCTCTGACAGCTGGCCTGGCAGCACAGCAGCAGGGATGTCATTATTTTTAATTTAATTCTAATCGAGATATGGGAATGAATGTGCAGAACAACAACTGTTTTCCTAAGTTGGGTTTCATGAGTCTTTACAAACTCACAGGGAAAATGAACGTGAGGTGAAGAGCTGCAGTAATCACCCTGGAGGAGGTGAGACACAGGGTGATGGCATGGCCATGTTACCTGAATCAGGCCCCCAGACTGGCACAGGCACCCCCCTCTGCAGCTTCTAATGCAGGGAAAAGCAAGGATGATCCTTCTCTGAGCAGCATCACAATCCTGTGCCCCCTAAATCCCACCCAGCACAGTGAACCCCAATGTT